TTGCCTTGAGTGTTGCTGCTACCCACCTCACCACTTGTCAGGGGCACTTCATGAAGACAGTGCCTGAGGAAGAACGCTTGGAACCGAAGAAGTGCTGGAACGCCTGGAACAGAATCTTATCCTGTCTTACTGTAACTCTGCTTTGGTTTCTGCATGAGAAACAATTACCGGAAGTTTGAAGTGGATACCATCACATTTGATAGGGGCATCAGCAAAGTTCAACAAATGACAATCATCTGAGAATCATCAACCATCTACCAGTAGTACCGCACAAGGCGGTGGCGGAAGTTTCAAAAATAGGAAACCTATAGGAGAGGTTGGTTGTTGTGAATCAGGGATGGCAGAGCGAAGCCACTGATGGATCGAAAGGTGATTGATCTCTCTGACTCTTTCTCTATTTTTTCTCTTTCTCTGATTATCTACCTACCTACGTACCTACCTACCTACCTAGCTATCTGTCTGTCTGTCTGTCTATCTATCTTATCTAATCTAACCTTATCTAATCTAACCTTATCTAATCTAATCTAAACTAAATCTAATCTAACCTAATCTAATCTAATCTATACCTATCTATCTATCTATCTGTCTATCTGTCTATCTATCTATCTGTCTATCTGTCTATCTGTCTATCTGTCTATCTGTCTATCTGTCTATCTGTCTATCTGTCTATCTGTCTATCTGTCTATCTGTCTATCTGTCTATCTGTCTATCTGTCTATCTGGCTATCTGTCTATCTGTCTATCTATCCATGCTATCATGTGAGCCATTATCCATCTATCCATCATCCATATCACATATTATCCATCTATCCACGTCCATCTATCCATCATTCCATCTATTCATCTACCCCCTACTCATCGATCCATCAGATCCATCATCTATCTAACTATCTACCTATCTATTCGGCTGTCGGTCTGTCCGGGCGGGTATCGATGTCGAATCGATGCGAAAATCTATCGCATCTATCCCAGGAGCCTCCGCAGCGAGCAAGCCGAGCGTAAGCGAAGCCGAACAGAACCGACCGAAGCGGAAGCGAGCGAAGCGACTCGATCCGACCGACCGAGCGAGCGAGCGGAACGAGCGGCGAGCGACGAGCGAGAGCGAGGAGGGAGCGAGCGAGCGAGCGAGCGAGCGAGCGAGCGAGCGGGCGGCGAGCGGGAGCGGAGCTAGCGAGCGAGCTGAGCGAGGAGCGAGATGAAGCAGCAGCGAGCGAAGCGAGCGCAGCGAGCGAGCGAGGGCGAGGCGAGCGAGGCGAGCGAGCGAGCGAGGTAGCGAGCGAGCGAGCGAAGCGAGGTGCGAGCGAGCGATCGAGCGGTAGCGATCGAGCGAGCGAGCGAGGGAGCGAGCGAGCGAAGGCTAGCGAGCGGCGAGCGAGCGAAGCGAGCGAGGCGATGCGAAGTACGAGCTAGGTCGAGCGAGGCTAGCTGAGAGAGAGAGCGAAGCGAGCGAGCGGAATCGAGCCGCTAGCGAGCGAGCGAGCGAGCGAGAGCTATCGAGTCGAGCGATCTGCTAGCGAGCGAAGCGAGCGATGGGAGCGTCGATCGAGCAAGCGAGCGGTCGATGCGAGCGAGCTATGATCATTATCTATCTATCTATCTATCTATCTATCTATCTATCTATCTATCTATCTAATCTACCTAATCTATCTATCTATCTATCTATCTATCTATCTATCTAACCTATCTAATCTATCTAATCTATCTAATCTATCTAACCTATCTAATCTATCTAATCTATCTAATCTATCTAATCGATCTAATCTATCTAATCTATCTAATCTATCTACCTACCTACCTGTCTATCTGCAAGCTTGAAAACGAAACTATTCTGCGAGACGTCCTCAGGTTTTGAACTTGACAACATCAAAACGGAGCAATTCTATGAGACTTCCTCAATGTTTGAACTTGACAACGTCAAAAACGAAACAATTCTGCGAGACTTCTTCATTTTCTGAACTTGACAACATCCAAAACGAAGCGAGACTTCTTCAGTTTTTGAACTTAACAACATCCAAAACGAAGCAATTCTGCGAGACTTCTTCAATTTTGAACTTGACAACATCAAAAACAAAGCAATTCTGCGAGACTTCCTTCAAAAATGGAAAGTTGAGTGCAGCGCTGGGAGCCTCGTACCAATGCGTTTTGCGATTTTTCCACTCCACCTGTCTAAAGTACTGTGCCTGCCACGAAACAGTGATGCCAGGTCATACGAAGTGCTGCACCTGTCACGCAAAATTATCTTAGCAAACCTACAGATCTGATGCTCCAAAATGCACCCCCTCTCAGGAAATCAGCGCCCTGACCTCCTAACATCTCTGATGAACATGTCTTTTGTACTGCGCCTGCCCGGCGAAATGCATCTTTGCAGATCCTCTTCAAATGTCCCACGCCTGCTATCGTTTCTGGAAATGCTACAAAACCCTCACGTTTTGCTCACTTTTGAGAAGGTGCACAATCCCTTGCCCCTGCCACGCGAAACGACATCTTAACGTCCAAAAGTGGTCCGATCCCTCGTGTTTTTAACATTTTGACTTCGAAATGTGCTTGGCGCCACAATGGCGTGCACTTTTTCGACATCTCAACTTCCAAAAGTGGTCCGAGAGTAGTGTGTTTTGTACATTTTGACTTCGAAATGTGCTTCGCGCCACAACCGCGTGCACTTTTTCGACATCTCAACTTCCAAAAGTGCTCCGAGACCTAGGTTTTTTGTACCTTTTCACTTCAAAATCTGCTTCGCGCCACAACGGCGTGCACTTTTTCGACATCGCAACTTCCAAAAGTGCTCCGAACGTGGTGTGTTTTGCCATTTTGACTTCGAAATGTGCTTCGCGCCACAACGGCGTGCACTTTTTCGACATCGCAACTTCCAAAAGTGGTCCGAGAATGGTGTGTTTTGTACATTTTGACTTCGAAATGTGCTTCGCGCCACAACGGCGTGCACTTTTTCGACATAAAGTGGTCCGACAATGGTGTGTTTTGTACATTTTGACTTCGAAATGTGCTTTGCGCCACATCGGCTTTTTCTACATCTCAACTTCCAAAAGTGCTCCGAACGTGAGGTGTTTTTAGCTTTTTCACTTGCAAATGTGCTTCGCGCCACAACGGCGAGCCTACTTTTCGACCCTCCGGAGCCACAAATCATCGGAAAATCACAGTGTTTTGCGACTTTCCTACCTTGTCGCGCATCTGCATCTTCTTTCTTCTGACTCTTTCTCTTCTCTGATCTTCTCTCTTCTACTCTTCTCTTCTCTCTGACTCTTCCCATCTGTGCTTTTCATCTGTCCATATTGTCGGAAGTTTGACTTCTAAACTTCCTTCGACAAGTTGGGACCATTTGTGATTGGACTAATCAGATTTGATCTATCTAGACCGAAGTACACTGTACAAGAGCACAAATCCAAATTGAAACGGTACTGTTTGTCCCCGCCGTCTTGAGCCCCGACCTTGATGTTGGAATGTCGAGTTTCATGATCTGAGGAGACATGCTGAACTCAAATCTGGTTGGCAAGTGCAATGTCGAAGATAAGAAGACTGGCAACACGGAGTTGAAGGACCCGGTGTGGGCCAACGCGGCCCCATTGGAGCGCGAGAGCTACGAAGATTCTCTGACTGCCAAGACCGCGTCCAAGCAATTTGTGAGGGACAAGCCCACAACAGCGACTTTCCAAAGTTTCTCGAAGAGAATGCAGAACTTCACAGCTGGGTCTGAATTTGATCTGAAGTTTTGGTTTGTATTTTGGATACATACGTCAGGTGTATGCACAACAGACAACGTTCATACTGTACATACATGCATGCGCATACATATTCATAAACTCAGAAGCTCCTAAAATACATACTTAACAAAAAATATATATATATATAGAAACATGTGTGCACTTACTTTACTGTCTATTTTTTAAAAAAGCAAATGGCATTCACATACGCAACATTCGCACTTACCCACATGCAAAATTAGACCCTTGCATGCCCACGCACCTACATACGTACATACATACCTACTGCACCTTTGTGCCACGCCATCTACCGGACTTGATCTCAGGTGACCATGTCTACGGACAGCGAGTTCTACAGCTCCCCGGCGCTGTTTCAGGCACACCTTTTGGAAGACGACTTTGTCTCCGTTGGCGCCCCAAGATTTTTCCCTTGCCGCCAAACCGAAGGTATCGCAAGTCTCTTTATCGCTTTGAAGTGAATGTGGCAAAATCATTTCTGAGCTAGGTCACTGAGGAAGCAGCCAGCTAGGCGTAGAAAAGCCAAGGCCATGTTGGGGAAACTGGGGGTGCCATGGTATATGTGCGTACATACTGAAAACATGTTACGAAGTAGAATTCAGCTACGCTAGATCAATGAGCTCTTGGTTGGTTCCGTTGGAGGTCTTTGCTTCAGATTGCAATTTGCAATTCAGCGTGCCGTGCAACTTACTCCAGCTTACCATTTATTTTTCAATTCGGACCTCTGGTAGCAAATCCCATTGAAACCATTGTGAGCGCAACCATTCGACTCTGCCATATTACCCAAATTCAGGATCAAGATCCAGATTGGATAAAATTTCCACAATTTCCACCAAATCAATTGGTCTTAAGGTTTTGTGCTTGTCTTGTTTCCTGGGAAGTTTGGCAGGCTGTTTGCTTAGCATATGGCTGGGTGAGACTTACGGTTCAGAAGATGTTTTGACTTGGGTTTAGGTTCCATCAATGAAAACGCCGCATTGAATTTCAATTTGAAATATTGCTGGTCGTCTACAGCCACCAATACAATCCTGAAAATGTCAGTTGTGTTCTGGAGGACCTGGACCTAAGAAACACAATGGCAGGAGCTTGAACAGGAAAAAGGGGACCTGTGTTGAATCATTTGGTTTCATCTTGCAGTGTTGCTCCCGCACTGTCATTGCTCCCGCATTGTCATTGCTCGCGCAAGTAATAATTGCTCTTTGCAGGCCCGCATTGTCATTGCTTGCGCAAGTAAGTCATGATTGCTCTTTGCAGGCCACGTCATTTGGCAGCTGGTTGAGCAAAGTTGAAAAAGAGCGCTGCACATGTTTCATTTTTATGACTTATTTTTTGCGAAATCCTTCGTGCCACTTTTTGTTGTGTAAATTGTGGTCACTGTTGCCGGCAATTGTTTGTCACATCTTTTATATTTATCTATCTATTTTCTACTATATATCCTATTAGGACTTTTCCCTTCAACTTGTATATACATCGTCCTTGCCGCGCCGTTTTTTGCGATGCCGCCGCAGGACAAAGCGTGGACTGATGGCGGAATACGAGTCCACCACGCAGAAGTACAATTTGGGTGCAGGTCAAAAAAAACACAGCGGTTTTGTGGAAAAGGTTTGGATATTAGTGGGGTATATGATGGGAACACACTCTCCAGTCAACTAACATCACCATTTTCAAGAGGTAAAGCCTGTGTAAACCGTCAATCAATTTCCATAGCTACGTATGTTAGTTTGCCAAAGGCCAAAGGGTATATATCTATACCTAGGTGGATAGCAATAGATATAGAGTCGATGGAAGATGATGGAAAAATTCTTGCACCAGTTGAGTTTATCAGTTTAGCTCATTATTTTTAGGGTTTGACTGGTTTCACTCATCCTTTCGGTGGTGCAGGATTTCTTTCCGTCCACAGTGGGATTAAGAGATTCAACCAGTGGTAACTCATGGGTTGAACTCAAGGTGCCAAGTGCTTCGTCACTTTTCAAAGCGACTAACTAGGATCTATAGTGGACGTAATTGAATTTTATCATCCTATGACTATTCGCTATTGGTAGATATGGAAGTCCCACCATTGATAAAGGTTGAACAGGAAAACCATAAAGAGTTTCATAATAATATCAATTATAATCTACTATTTTTGTAAGTTCCAAAGGTACTATTATGGACCCCCATTGTAACAATTGTACATGGATAGGATTTACTATGGGGTCCTTGTTAGTACTTACGAAAAAGTGTAATGTGGGTAAAACACTAAAGACCACCCATTTGGGAATGATTTATACCACCTATTTCTGGTGATGACTGGGGGATAGTTTATTATTCTGTTACCCCGTTACAGGATGGGGCCCCACAGTTATAAGTTGGTTTATAAACCCTTATAATCCCCATCAACTATAGTTATATCTACCATAACCATTGTTAAACCACTTATCAACCAACTTAGCTATCTTGGGGGCCCCATCCGGTACTATTATTCACAATTTCTTGAGGGTACAAGAAGGACCTATGAAACCAACTTACGAATGTTTGCGACAGATCCGTAGAAATTCGGGTTCAATCATCCCGCTCAGTAATTGGTTAATGAATGTTAACAACTCTGGGAATCATAAAACCTGCTTTGTAGGTGATCCCACAACTAGGGTATAAACCACAAACATTAACCAGATAAACTTATCTTCCCAGAACTGGAAAACCTAGAATTGGGGTAGAAACCATTCCAAGAAGATTCCAGCAGACCTCTAGAGTATACCCTTTGCCACTTAAAGATTGTTATGAGTTGGAATTCCTTACATTCTGGATGTTGGAGGGAGTTGGGGTATGCTTCACAGGGATATGCAAATCATATTATATAAACGTAACCGGAGCTTGCTTATGCATCGTGATCAACTAATGACAGTCCTGTGTGGGTTTTGACTCGGCACCAATGATCTCTGTCTCCGTCACCAAACAGAGTACCAATTCCGCGAAGGATTATCATATAAAATGTTTTTCCATTACACCAAACAATTTTGGACAATTTTGGTATCAAACATCATTTTTCTGTACAAATTCTAGTGCCCTCCGGTAGTGAAACATGGTCTGCTGGAAACTCCACCAGCAAAATTTGGCGGATTTTCCAGTGGAGATGATTACCAGAGAGTACATCCATTCATATCCCATCAATATTCCATTATTCCCAATATATATATTTATATATATATATATTTATATATATATATATATGGTAACGACATTTAAGTATGTGGAGGACGGGCCAGACCGCGAGGCCCCGTAGGTAGTATGAAATACCACTTCGTATATAGTTACCGTATGTTTAAATGAATTGGACTCCGTATGTTTAAATGGCCGGGCGGGCCAAGGAAAACCTTCCCGGAGGTAGTCTAAAATACCTGTTCGTATATTTAAAAATCCATATATTTAAATGTAGTTACCGTATCATCCCTATAAATTATAGTACTTCACTAACCTGAACTAAGATCATTTTGGGATAGTTACCTTTACCAAATCATCATTCCCTAGCCAGGGGCTGCGAGCTCCCCAGCACAGAAGGCGGCCCTGAATCGGCGCCTTGGGTTGAGAAATCGGCGGTGTTTGTTGTTGTTGTTGTTGTTTTTTTCCCGAAGGATGGAAAATGGGTGGTTTTATCAATGACCAACAATTTAAAATAAAAAATACCAATTTTCACAAAAAAACACAATGTTTTTTATTCAAGATTTGATGGAGATTTTTCTTTGCGAACAACAAGGGGAACGGGTGATCTTGCAGGGATATTCCCAGGAAAGCGGAAACTGAACCAGCAAGAATGGGGGGTATCATAGCTACTGTATCACTAAGACTGGATGGTGACCTGTTGGTGGTTTTGGAGCTGCCCTTTTGTTGGGATGATCCTCAAAAAACGGGGAAACTGAGGAGTTCAATACCCCTCAGCTGGGTGATGATTTTGTAGCACGCAAAACGCAGAGAGATGCCCCACCTCCGCCTGCCCGCAATGTTTTTTTGTGATCTATGTACGCTATGACGGAGACCTGGGGTTTCGCGAGACTTCCAGAGAATTTGTCTCTTGAACACCGAGAGAATAGGTTGTGAGAGATGAATATCCCTGAATGTTACATATAAGAAGGCCCCCCGGTCATGTTTCTTGGTTTATAACCCCAGCTAGGCTTAAGTGTATATATGTAGACTATAGATATAGATCCGCCACAAATCCAAGCGTTAGCCTAGTGAAAATGAACCAACCTCATTATATACTTACTATGAATCAGTCATACATCTCCAATGTGTGTTACTTAATTTCCCTATGGTTCCCTATGGTTCCCTATGGTTTGGTGGTTTGGATCATCATTGCAGCGGTCAGACCGCAGGTTAAAGGATTTGAGGGAGTTGAAAGTCACCAGCAGGTCGGGGTTCGTGTGGGAGTCTACGCTACCTCTGTATCTTCCATTCCTGAGATGAGGACCGCAAATTGGTGAATATAGTATGATATGGTGTGATATGATGTAATTTGATATGACATTACATGATGTGACATTACATGATGTGATATGATATGACATGACTGATATGAACTGTTATGAACTGTTATGATATATTATGATATGATTTTTTTCAAGTGTGTTGAAACCACCAGCCAATGAACGACTTCAAGTCCTGATACAAAATGAAAGCTTCTCAATAGCGAAATCCACGAATCTTGGGGAATATGTGGATGATTTGTTTGGGTTCCTCAAGCAAATCCAAGTCATTGTTGGCATGATTTCATGCCAGTTGGTGATTTAGCCCCAGAAGATAGAACCGTAAGTCATCACTGGTTGCGAAAGAAGGGAGGTTGAGATATGGTAGGTGGGATGATTTTTGTCACTGAATTATCCAAAATTACCCCAAAAAAGTGTGTGATGACGAAAAAGTGATTATAGTTTCTAACCGTTCTAACAAAATGCCACATTTCCTGGCTTTCAAGAGAAAAATACGACTCCTAGTCCTACTGCTTTGTAGAACATGTGAGTGACCAGCCAACCCGGGTGAGTCGAAACAGTTTGATCATGCTGGTGAGATGGTAAATCCCCTGGGGGAACACCCCCTAAGTGTTTTATGGGTGTTGAATGAGATGTTTAGGGGATTTTCAATGGGATTATTTTCTGCCTGGTGTATATCTTAATCCTCTGGTAATTTGACGTAGCGACTAAGGCCCATAGAAAGAGATGACCTAGCGATCTAAAATTAAAAAGCCATGGTGATTTTCCATAGTAAACGAACAGTTTGATGTGGAGAAGCCACGAACTTTGTAGATTTCATCTTTCCGAAGGGGGTTTTCCCCAATGGATTTTCCACATCTTTTTGTATGTTTACCCCAGGGTACCAGAGGGTAACTCTGGTTATCAACCACTTAAACATACCGCCTGCCAGGCTGGGAGTGGAGGTGGGCAATCTCTACCAGCAGAAGCCGCAACAGGCGGCTCGTTTTGTTGGGTGCGCAGAAGATGAAGATGTTAATCTGTCGGTTGATTTTGAACACTATGATATAACTTTGACAATAACTGCCAATAATACCACAAAACTCGACAACATAATATGATTAATTAATATTACGTATAGTTGATAAAGAAGGTGTCGCTTGATTTTGAACACTACGTGGGGGTTCCAATAAATGGGGGTTCCCCAAAAATGGATGGTTTATAATGGAGGATCTTCCCAAAGTGGATGATTTTGGGTGTAAGTTATCAACTCTTGACGTTTTAAGAATGTTATGACTGTTATGTTAAATCCAGGATTTTAGCATATAATCCCACCTGGTTGGTGGTTTCAAACATGGCTGGATTATTTTCCATTTCATATATGGGATGTCATCCGAAACCCATTGACTTTCACTCCATGATTTTTCAAGATGGGCACATTGCACCACCAACCAGCCACTAGATGGATCTTTTCTAAAATGGGGGGGTACCTCCAGACTTGGTATTGACACAACCATGCTGACTGGGGCATCCACCATGGAGTCGCTGGGCATCATTCGTGGGTTTTTCACACCACCGCCCTTGGCGGAGAGATCGTGGGAAAAATTCGTGGGAAAATGTGCCGCAAAAGGGTTCTAGTCTAAGGCCATGTCCCAGGCAGTGGGTCGAATGTCCTTCATTCCTTTTCCTCACAGCCTTGGTTCAGTATTGGATCTATTGTGGGATTTGCCACCAAAAAAACCATCCCCAAACTCATCATTTTCATGGGATTAAAACCATCCCCAGTCATGGGAATTGTGGGTTGGCATTGGGTGAATTCCCACATTATTCATTTTTTTGGGGGCCGTTTCGGGGGAAAGGGGTTCTGGTGGGGCCTGCATCATGGAAGTTCAGGAGAACCACAGAAAAAATAGTAATTACCATCTGGTTACCAGTAGTACCGCACAAGGCGGTGGCGGAAGTTTCAGAATAGGAAACCTATAGGAGACGTTGGTTGTTGTGAATCACGGATGGCAGAGCGAATCCACTGATTGACCGAAAGGTGGTTGGAGTTGTGTTTGCTGGAATGGTTGCAATGGTTGCAATGGTTGCAGTGGTCACCTCACCCACAACTGCTGGATGTAGTGTGATGTACTGCAACTGTAGTTGTAGTTGTAGCGTAGTGGAGTTGTAGTTGTGGTGTAATGTAATTAGTGTAGTGTAGTTGCAGTCATATAGTTGTAGATGTAGTTGTTTTGCAGTTGTAGTTGTAGTTGTTGTAGTTGTAGTTGTTGTTGTAGTTGTAGCTGTAGTTGTTGTGTGGTTGTAGTTGTTGTGTAGTGTAGTAGTAGTAGTAGTAGTAGTAGTTGTTGTTGTTGTAGTTGTAGTTGTTGTTGTTGCTGTAGTAGTAGTAGTAGTAGTAGTAGTAGCAGGAGTAGTAGTAGTAGTAGTAGTAGTAGTAGTAGTTGTTGTTGTTGTTGTTGTAGCTGTAGTTGTTGTAGTTGTAGTTCTAGTTGTAGTTGTTGTGTAGTTGTAGTTGTAGTAGTTGTTGTTGCTGTTGTTGTTGTTGCTGTTGTTGTTGTAGTAGTAGTTGTTGTAGTTGTAGTTCTAGTTGTAGTTGTCGTGTAGTTGTTGTAGTTGTAGTTGTTGTAGTTGTTGTGGTTGGTGTTGTTGTTGTTGTGGTCGTGGTTGTTGTTGTTGTTGTTGTTGTTGCTGTTGCTGTTGCTGTTGTCGTCGAAGTTAGGGTAGTTAAGTTAGTGAAGTTAGTTAAGTTAGTCAAGTTAGTTAGTTAAGTTAATCAATGTGTACTTTTTCGACATCTTCACGTCAAAAAAGGCTCAAAACCCTCAGTTTTTTACACTTTTGACTTCGAAATGTGCTTCGCGCCACAACGGCGTGCACTTCTTCGACACTTTTTCGACATCTCAACTTCCAAAAGTGGTCCGAGACCGCCAGTTTTTAACACTTTTGACTTGGAAATGTGCTTCGCGCCACAACGGCGTGCACTTTTTCGACATCTCAACTTCCAAAAGTGGTCCGAATCTGAGGTGTTTTGTACATTTTGACTTGGAAATGTGCTTCGCGCCACAACGGCGTGCACTTTTTCGACATCGCAACTTCCAAAAGTCGTCCGACGCTGAGGTGTTTTGTACATTTTGACTTGGAAATATGCTTCGCGCCACAACGGCGTGCACTTTTTCGACATCGCAACTTCCAAAAGTCGTCCGACGCTGAGGTGTTTTGTACCTTTTGACTTGGAAACGTGCTTCGCGCCACAACGGCGTGCAATTTTTCATCGCTCCTGTGACCAGCTGGCCTACTTTTCGACCCTCCTGAGCCACAAATCATTGGAAAAACACAGTGTTTCGCGACTTTCCTACCTTTTCGCGCATCTGTATCTTCTTTCTTCTGACTCTTTCTCTTCTCATCTTCTCTCTTCTAATCTTCCTCTTCTCTCTGCCTCTCCCCTACTCTGCTTTTCATCTGTCCATATTGTCGGAAGTTTGACTTCTAAACTTCCTTCGATGACTAGCATAGCCATGGAAAATGGCCCATTTATGCCCATTTATAGATGGTTTACCTATTAAAAATACTGATTTTCCATGGCTATGTTAAATAACCAGAGGGTATAGTTTCAATCCAACATCCATTTTTTTTGCGGAAATATCTGTGATGATCATGATTGCAATCCACATATGGATTTTGGGTGGAATGGAAGCAGTCTAAACATGTGCAAAAAAAACAATTTTTCGGAGCCTGAGAAATTGTTTTTCTGCAAAGCCCAATTTCATCCCGTAAGACAATATAAGGGGTCACGCCAAAAAAATGCACCGCTAAAGGGAATTGCAAACCTCACGTACAAGCAGTAATTTAAGAATTTGGCAATCCTACTCCAGGGTCCCTCAAATTCTTAAAGTACTATGTGTTTGGTATACCTGAAAATATGTAGCCGGCCTTGGATTCGAGCCCCTCAAATTCTTATACAGTGAATTCTTGTACAATACTCAAGCTGTATACACATCTTCGGTGGTGCCAAGAAATCAGTTCCTGGATGCTCATCAGAAGATGGGGCTCGTTGGGCGACCACTGCTGCAGCTCAAAACGTAGCAATCTTCTGCTATGAAACTGCAGAGCTGGCTTTTTCTGATGAGTCGGTGCGCTTCCAGCTCATGGTCACAAGTGGATTTCCCATTGCCATTCGTCAGTTCCGTGCGAATTTTGTTGCTCCGTGGTTGAAATCATTCAACAGCCTGACTGTGCTCCATTTGATGGGATAGCAGTTTTCGTGCGCAAGGGAGTTTCATTGCAGCAAATGAACACAGCGCCGTATGGGCCAGCAAACACAATTGCACATGGACCTATTCCTGGAGGAGGACCTGGACCAGCAGCAGCATTGGTGGCGAATTGGCCACCTGCTGCGCTTGAGCATTTGCTAGGCCGTCAAGCTCTTGTTCAACAGATGCAACATTTTTTTTTTGCATCCATTTTTTTTTGCAAAGCCGGGCTTGTCTGAGTTTCATGAGAGCAGTACGGAAAAAAAAACAATTTTTTAGAGCCTGAAAAATTGTTTTTTTGCAAAGCCATGCTTGCATGAATTTTATAAGGTTAGTGCGCAAAAAGACACTTTTTTGGAGCCTGAAAAATTTTTTTTTTTGCAAAGCCGAGCTTCTCTGAGTTTCATCAGAGCAGTGTCGAAAAAACAATTTTTAGAGCCTGAACAGTTGTTTTTTTGCAAAGCCATGCTTGTATGAATTTTATAAGGTTAGTGCGCAAAAAAAAATTGGAGCCTGAAAATTGTTTTTCTGCAGAGCCCTGTTTGTGGCTAACTTTCTTGGCTATTCTAGCTATATATTGTTGTTGTTTAGTCCCTTATTTTTGGTCAAATGGCTAAAGACTGCCTAGCTTAGTCTGCAGTGCGTTGGGCTTCGGCGTCAGCGTCGCGGGCTCGATTCCCGGCGCGGCGCTTTTCGCCGAGGTATTGGGTAAACAATACTCCAGGTCCGATTGTGAGCAGTCCAAGCATGCGCGAAAAAAATAATCGGAGCTTGAAAAAATTGATTTTCTGCAAAGCCTCCGTTTTCTTCAAGCTATTGAGGAAAACACGTTTCAGGTCCCCAGGCCTATCCACATATGGATTTTGGGTGGAATGGAAGCAGTCCAAACATGTGCAAAAAAAACAATTTTTCGGAACCTGAGAAATTGTTTTTCTGCAAAGCCCAATTTCATCCCGTAAGACAATATAAGGGGTCACGCCAAAAAAATGCACCGCTAAAGGGAATTGCAAACCTCACGTATAAGCAGTAATTTAAGAATTTGGCAATCCTACTCCAGGGTCCCTCAAATTCTTAAAGTACTATGTGTTTGGTATACCTGAAAATATGTAGCCCGCCTTGGATTCGAGCCCCTCAAATTCTTATACAGTGAATTCTTGTACAATACTCAAGCTGTAGTACTTGTGTCATAGATATTTCCTACAATTCCTATATTAATTCATGATTGGAATCTACTATATTGGAATCCATGAGTGTATGTACTATCCATTGTGGGTATATTATATGGAATTTCGGATTTCAATCACATAAAATAGGATTCCTGCAATATACTGTGATGATCATGATTGGAATTCCATATATTAATTCATGATTGTTGTGTAAAGATTAATCCTATATACAGGATCAGTAATACATGTATATAATACACAATCTAATATACTATATAATGTCAAAAAATCCATGATGTAGTCGCATGTATTAATACGTACATATACTAATGGAGATTCATATATGGTAAATCAGCACTTCTGTGTATATTAACGTATTAATACATGCGACTACAGTATGGAATTTGTTGCCCTGCCAGGATATTCAGCTCTTCCTGGCCGGCAAGTCGTTGAAGTATTGCACCTCGCCGGGAAGAAACAATGCAGCCACGTTCAAACGCTGTTTGCGTAGGCGAAAGATGGCAGAAAGAACTCCAATAAAAATGGGATATACATGGATATAACCTGATATAAACTTATAAACAAATTAGCTCGGCTTTATAAACCAACAAACATAACTTTATAACTAACTCGGGGTCCTTCCCCCCTGTACAAAAAAAGCAGCCTTTTGCGATGTGAACAGCAGGGGTTCAGGCCCAGCACAACACGCGTCCCACGCGTCCCACCCTTGGAGATTCTGAATGTTCACGAATTTTGGTCCTCAAAGTCGATATATTTTGGCCACACTGCCATGACGTTGGGACGTCGGGACAGGTGGCTGTGATGGGTGAAAAAAGTGCCATGGTGCCATGGTCAACGTTGGACTTGTGGGATGGTCATTTCCTCCATTGTCCTAGGGCCCTAGGGATTGATGTACCCGGTAGATTCCAAAAACGTGGCGTGGAGTACCAGAACTCAAAAAAACCAGGTGCAATTGGCAATTGCACATGTCATGCTGAAACTACCTTGATGACAATCTCTTACCATTTGGACAGTCAAATCCACTCACAATGTTTATATCAGGAATAGTATCAGTCATTCTCATCATTGTCTTTTTGCGGGTGCTTCGATTTAATCATCCAGTACACATCTGGACTTTCCCTTCATGGCAAGCCTCGGCCGAGGCAAATTGAAAACAACGAGTTGCCAGACAGGCGCAAGCAGCACCAACCTGGACACTTTTCGTTTTTTGATCCCCTGAGATCAGTGGCCATGCAACACGATAAACATTGGAGGTACCGATTCCATATATGTTAGGTCTATTTTTTAGGCCTTAGTTTCAGGGAATATCCCCAGAAAATATGGCCAAACATATGGTACAGTACCTCAATTTTGGGTACCTGAATGGCCCTTCGATTCGATTTCGGCCTTGGGTCATTTGCCGAGTCTCGCGATGTTGATCTGGCGGTCGAAACATGTCAAAGTCCTGTCGTGGCATCGTTCATTTGGAGCTTTCCTAAGTCATGGAGGACCGCCAAAAGATCCAATTAAATAAAATATATTTCTATCATAGACCATCCTAAATTATGTGGTACTTCTTATTTTCGGATTTTCTATGAAACAAACCATCCAGCGATTGGGCTACTTCCATGACTCAGGAAAGCTCATCGACATGCCTCAGAGTCTTTGTGAATCCAGTCGCTGAAAAACACTGGGAATCCAGTCGCTGAAAAAAACACACCAGATCCGAATGTATGGCATTCCGTAACATTGCCATTTTCAAAAGGGCAAAAAAAACACGCCATGCCTTAGAAATGGTACTAATATGGTACTAATAGGTATTCTACACGATTGCCATTTCCTCTAACATGGTATTTCCCAACATTTTCCCAACATTTTCCCACCATTTCCTATAGGCAAATCATGTTTAAAGCTGGATACATGCCCGTCATGTCGTTGTTCGTGCCCCATTTGTCACCATCTCCAAATGACGAAAAAGAGAGTGCCATTTACACACATTTTCCCTTTGGAAGTTCAGCATATACTACCCTTTATGTGTATATATAGATATAATTGAGGTATATAATATACGTGTATATATATATAATATATATATATAATATATATATACATAATATATATATATAATATATATATATATATATTGATCGAGATACAATATATATATATATATTTATCGGAGATGATCATAATCCATGAATGGGAAAGTGCTGTTCTAGCCACTTTGCCACGCTATTTTTCATAGCTCTCTTCTCCGCCGGCCAGGAGACGATGATGTGGAGATTGGCATCAACACAGAAGAAATTTGGACGGAAGAGAAGGCCGGGACCCCGGGACCTGTGGATTTTAGGCCCTGCGTTAGGAAATCGCGAAGATCTGTAGCACAGTCACTGCCTTGGTGATCTGGTGGTGGCTCATCCCAGGAATCGTAAGTGGATTAGTTCACCCCAGTTATCCTTGGGAATGAACTTCATGTCATTGAACTTACGCAGGAATGCGACCCCACCAAGGATATGACGCCTTAAAAGTTGTCCGTTTGTTTTTGGGGAACCTCTGAAAGAATCTTCATCAACGTTCATCAACGTTCATCTTGGGATTCATCTTACTGGTGCTAAACGTAAGGAATGAGGGAATGATCCACTGGCTAACGATCAATAATCATCCCAGCAACCCCCAGCAACCCCCAGCAACCCATCCATTCCCTACGTTTAGCACGCACCAGTAAGTCATATCCTGTGCAAAACCAACACTTTCAATCTTTGGGTCGGTGTCAATCTTTGGGTCAAGACCTACACCTAGAGGTGCTTGTGCAGCTCTCATCCTGGGGATCAGTGTGGAACTGATGGAATCAATATAGACGAACTACGGAATACCAGGTAAATCACCATGCTATTCATTGGTAAATCAACTATTTAAATGGCAATTTTCAATAGCAAACTGTTAGTTTAAATAGTTGATTTACCAACTATCAATTGCCACATATCTAGTTAAATGGTATGTTTAATAGATTGTAGTTAAAAATTACCATTAATCATAGTTTACTAGAGGGTAGATTGTATGATTCTATATGTTTACCGGGAAATCCAGCCAGATTTCTAGATCTAGATTGGTTGGATAACCCCGATTCAGAAATCTGCTGATCTGATCCAGATCATCTCAGAAAGCCTTCCGTTTTTTTTGGGGAAAATGGAGGTACCCCAAAATTTCCCAAAGAATATCCACCATTTTTTCCCATGATTCGCTGGCTTGCTGAATTGAGGTATATATCATATATTCCATGTAAATCCCCCATTTTTGGCTTTGTCATCCTTTGGTTTCATCATCGTTTTCCGTACCACAATTCAGGGGGAAACCATTGTCGAAACAGATCCGTTTTCAGACAACGCCAGTACTTGGTTCATGCCATTGTTGAGAATCAATCCCACAATCATGTCCATACAAAATGCACTCTTTATCAATTGTTGATGTACCCTCGGGTAAACTAACATAGCTATTGAACATGGCCATTTATAGTTTATTTACCCACTAAAAATGGAGATTTTCCATGGTTATGTAAACGTTTACCAGAGGGTGAACCCCAAATCACTTCTGGTATATAGATCACCGGGGAAAAAGGAAATGCACCATCATTTCCTTGGCTTTAATGATAGATCCAATGGGATTTACCCTCCGGTGTCATCAACTGTGACTGGCTGGAAAATTCCCGAACTAAATGGAGGTTCCTAGCTGGGAAATGCCACGTTTGATTACACCCAGAACATCTTTTTTACTCTGTTATATCCCCATCATATCAACACATGGAAACATTTCTAGTTTCCCTATGATCTTGACTCGACCCATATAAATTTTTCATGACATGTTCTTTTTGGACTTCGACGAAGGAGATGCAGTTCCCCACTTTGACGGGGCAAGCGAGCAAGCGCCTGGCTTACGCTGGCGTGAAACCGGGGCATAGGTTAACATGGGGATTTTCACAGCACGTCATGGGGATTCAATGCGATGGAGGTTCCTTAAGTGGAAAAAAACCATCATTTAATGGGATTTTATGGGACTTAATGGCATTTGAATTCGATTTGAATCAGATGATAAGTGGATATTACCCTATGGCACTGTTTTGTTTAAGGATTTCACCAGCAGAAAATGGTGGTTTTTAATGGTGATATAATGGGAATATTGAAGGATCATCCCCTGGATTGCAAATGGTTTGTAAATGGTGTTATAGCCTAGTGAAATATGAGATAACCAATATGAGATATCCCCACGAAACCGGGGACGAATCCGATCACCAGAGTTACTATATAGCCACACACTTACGATTCCTGGATCCTCCATTCATGGGACCTGGTTGGTCATGTGATTTTGCCAAAGCTACAGTCACCATCCTCTGGGTTTAAGAAATTCGATGATGGATTGTAACAGCCCCCAGTCCCCTTATTTCGAGATAATCATCTTGGATCAACCAAAACATACTTGTAATATATTGTAATATTATCATGTGATCACTATTAGGAAACTATGGTTTATTTCTCGACATTAATAGTGGTACTATTTTAATATGATGATATGAGAACATACATAGTTGAATATATCATAGTTTACATACAGAGTTGTAAGACTAATAGTGATCGCTCATTGGTTTATGAATCCACCAACACGATAACTTTCCAGGTCGACTGGCAACGAAGCTCAGCTTTTGCCATTTCTGAGGCTGGGCCTGTGGGATGGCAGCTTTTACCTCACAGCCTGGGGGAAAAGCGACTTTCAATTAACGATAGGTTGAGACCAACAATTAGAAACAGGGCTTGGTTGGTTTCAGAATGTTTCAGATACTCTTTCCTCTCAACTGATTCAGTTTTTGGGGATCCCAATTGACATGCACAAGGAGTTGTTCACCCCAACAGGAAAGGTTGGGAACTTCTAAGATACCCTGGAACGTTCGACCCTCCCAGCATGGATTTGATCATCAGATTGGGACCGACCCCTCTATGTTTTCCAGGATCATTGTCCATGTTAGCTTTTGGTTGCTCAATGGGTGAATCTTTTAAGTAGTGAGGGGAGGAATGTCATCAACATTCTGCTAAATGAATCATTCATATTTTTTTCTGCAACACAGGTTGAGATTGGAAGTGCATACCGTCTGGTAAACATACAAAAAGCTATTGAACATGGCCATAGAAATAGTGGATTTACCCATTAAAAATGGTGATTTTCCATAGTTACGTTAGTTTACCAGAGGGTAGATGTGTCTTCCAGACCATGCTGAGTTCACCATACCATCCAAGACCTGGGTTGGCTGCACCGAACAGGAAAAGGCAGCAGGAAACACATGAGTTCTACCATCCCAATATGCTGAACATCGTAGAAATATGGGACGTTTCTTGAACATGTGTATTCTGTCCATGTATATATATATACATTATTGCATATTATATATATATATATATATCTACTAGACTATACGTATTATGAAGACACATGCACTACACTTTACCAAACTTTGTTCTACTACTGCACTACATTACGTCATATGTATATAAGGATTTCATATAATATTGATTACATGACTTGACATTGCAGCACATTACATACATATGTACCTACATATATGCTCTGGTAATCAAATATGGCAATAGATGATGTTCCCATTTAAATGACCATTTAGTTCAGGGATGTCCTAGCGGCCCACCTTGTTTGATGAAACCGAAGGGTATAGGTGATATAGTTAATTGGTTATTCTTGTTCTATGTCCATATTTCTTATTGGAAATATATCCAATCATATCCCATTACATGTCAGTAGATACAGTACCACTATATCCCAGTATATACCATTGTGATAAAGCTATTATTGGTACATATCCCATATAGTGGTATCAACATATATATATATATATTATTGGTACATATCCCATAGTGTTGTTGGTTACCAAACTGATCCAGCTACACCCGTAATTTGCCCAAAGTTTCCGAGAACTGATGGCTCTGCGATCCCATCCTTAACCAGCGACGCTACCCATAAAAATGTGATTATTGTCACTCTAAATTGACATTAACTCATATGGGTACTAATATGGGTACTATGGGTACCATTAACTATAAAAATAATAATAGTGATTATTGTATAAATTATGGTGGTAATAGAATTTAATATGGGTACATATTAACACCATAAATCGTGTTTACCATACAGTGACTAGCTATTGATAATTATGATTAATAGCTGGTTAATCAATAATCGTGATGTTAATCAATATCATCGATAATACACTAGCCATTTACTACATCATAATACATAGATTATTGATTACCCTCTGGTTATTTAACATAGCCATGGAACATCCCAACCATAAATGGAGGTTTATAGCTGGGAAAATCATCAATAAATGATAATAAATGGGCCATGGCTTCCA